GGTGGGGGCGGGTGGCAGATATACACACATTCATAGAACTTCTAAGGATTCCAGGCTTGTCTTGGGATTTTTATTAGTTTTAACATTAATAAAGTTAGCTAAATCCACTTGTCTCTTGTTTTATTTTTCATTAGTAAATTGAAAGGCTGTAAATTTCTGTAGAAAATGAGACACAAATTACGTGGTTACCTAGTTTTTGCCTTGATCATAGATTCCCTCTTTATAAAATTACCAACAGTCCATCACTGATTGAAATATTTTCTATAGTTAAGATTTGCTGCATAATATAGTATATAGAATTAAGTTATAATGTACTAACATTTCACCTTTGGAGGAGGTTTTAATCCACATCAGGATTCCAGTTGCTCATAAACATTCTTTCACATATGATAGATTATAGTTTATTTAAATGTGCTCAACATTGCAAATTGCAAATGTGCAGAAACATTGAGACAGTATTACTGTCATTTTGGAAAAGATGTTCCTCGGGGATCATATATGAACATGTCAATAAGCTTGCATTAAGCCACCTGCTTTGTAAGTGGATTGAATAATAAATACCTTCAGTTTCTCTTGTCTTTGTCTTTCATAATCAGATTAAGTGTACAATGGTTTACAGTAAACCTAGAAGATGAACTGTTATGTTTACACTAAAAAAAAAGGTGATCCATTTATAAATATTACCTTATCTAATTTGATGCCTGGTTTTGTCTGGTTAAAGCTGCTTCCCTTTTATTTTATTTTTTTTTAATCTGTTAGGAGTAGCATTTGCCAGCGCAGTGTCTATTGCTGGCAACAAATTTAACACCTCTGGCACTGAGGCTTTAAGTGGAGAGAAATTTTATTCTAGCATGTGTGATAAATGGACATTTTCAAGCTTAATTGCATTGCTAAAACTGAACTTAAAACCACTTTGTGCTTGTACAGTGAGGGATATGGGAGAGAGGCAACACATGATTTGACTGCTTCAAAACCTGACATGGTTTTATGCTAAAGCTTCTTAAACATTATGGCTGTAGGAAACTGGAAGTGAGTATGAAGTTGAAGCTGCAAAATGAATAAAAGTAACTGGAAGGACTGAACAGACACTTTCTGTCTTTCAGTGACTGTTGAAAAGGAGGGAAGTTAGTTGACCACTGATGCTTTGAAGTCTGATGATGCTCACTTTTAAACGTTTCCAAGAAGGTACTTGAGAGACATGAGACAAAAAACCCCAGGGCCTCTGAAATAACTGAGACCCTGGATGCGTGGTAGAATCTATTTTGGCTTCCTTACAGGACAAAGAAGCACAGGTTTGGGGGATTTTTATTTTATTTGTTTTTAGGAAATCTTTTATGCACCTGATTTGGGTGCCTGGTACTAGAGGTATTTTAGTGGTCCATGAATTGACTTGTTTTATAACTGCTACTGATAATTGTCTTGCTTTTAAATGTATGCATAACATTGTAATGTGATGTTGAACACTTAGGTATTTGCCAGGAATCACAGTGTTCTGATCTTACATGCTATTGCAGGGGCTAATAAAGCTGCAGCCTACTTCTATTCCAGAAAGTTGTGACTTAACCGTAATTTATGGGAAGAAAAAAGAATAGGCATTTGATTTTTGAAAATTTCCACCACTTACTGTGCTTTATATGCTTAGATGCATTGCCTTAAGTTTTTCTGCAGCATCTTTGACTTTGAAGATAAGATTCTCAACAGTATACATCAAATTACTTTTCATATAAAATTCCATTGTCAAAAGAAATCCTTTTGTATGCAATAAATAAAATGTTAAGACTGGTATCATTCAAAATATGTTTCTTATGCAAGTGTGTGGTTTTTTTCCTTTTGCCTCCTTTTGTCTTTTTAAGTCTTGATCTGTATTCTTACAGGTATGCTTGCAGCCCAAGAAAAAATTCTCTCAGTGAAGGGATCAACATTTACCCCCAGTTAAATATGTTGATAAACAGAGCCAGCTGGAGCTGCCCTTATGAAGGATATGGGAATATTAACTTGTGTGAACATATAACACCGTTGGGGGGAGACTGCAAAACCGTTGTATTTCAGTTTAGGCAGCTACTGTGGAGTTGAAGTTCCTGACTCTCAGGACTAAACTGACTCATTACTTTTGATTCCTATGTGCAATTTAAAACCACAGGTGCCAGCTGTGCCCCTTCGGCCTGGCTCCCCCGCCCCCAGCAACGCCCGTGGTGAGAAGTGCCGGCCCAGCTGGCTTTTAACGACCCAAACTATCCCCAGCCGGTATTCTCCGCGATAGGCGGCACAGCTGAATGTGCTTTTCAAGGTAAAATCTCTTGTTTTGCGACCTTGGGTTGGCCTCAACAGACGGGAGGCACCTGCGCCTCTCTCTCCCCGCCCCCCCCCGCCCGTCTCGTGTCTCCTCGCGCCGCCTCGCGGATCTTGTGCGAGCCGCTTCCTGTTTGGGAGGGCCCTGAGTAGATGGACCAATCGAGGGCGTGCATCGTACGAAGCTGCCCAATAGGAGAGCGGGAGAGCGCTTAAAGGGGGCCACGGCGGCGCGAGGCTACAGTCGCTGCCTTCGTGAGGGACGGGAGCAGCGCGAGCGGCTACCACCTCCCCTCAGCTCCACGGCCATGGCCATGCTCCTGCCGCGCCGCGCCGCCGTGAGTACTGCCCGTGCGGGAGCGGGACGGGACCGTAGAAGATGGGGGAGGTGGCCCAGCGGGAGGAGGGAGCGGAGGGGGTGAGGGAGGGGGTGAGTCGCCCAGAGCCCCCGCCGCTCTTTCTTCTCAAGCGGCTGAACGCTGGGGCCGCGGCGCGAACGGGCCGGCGAGAGCTCTGCCCGGGGTGTGTGTGTGTGGGGGGGGAGGCGGTGGGTCTCCGCGCTGGGCCTGGCTGGGAG